ACTCCAGTCCCCAAACAGATGACATGGAGCTCAGCCTCAGGCTAAGCTGGATCTCCACTCTGAGATTTAGAGAAGGAATTTCTTCACCAACATGCCAGCTAGGCATCCGGGCCCAGCTCCCAGTAGACTGCACACGCTGAATCAATTGAGTCATGGATATAATTAATTTAATGCATTTAAACGATTTTCTGTATAGTAAACATGCTGAATGAGGGTGACCCAGTAAAGTCTGAGACACGCAGACGGTGAGAGTGATGAAACCGCGTCAGCAAACGCAAAGTGCTTCAATCTCTTCTCGCTTGTTTCCTTTCTTCCAGCTCCTCACTGATGGCTGAACTTGGCCTTCTGCAGACTCCCTGGCCACAAAGGCACTTTCTACTGTGTCAAAGGATATTGTATTTCCACCAGTCCAAACATAATTTTAATGAGGCCTGTCTGGAACCCAGAGCTAGGTGCGTCTTAATATGCAATAAAGGGACGAGTAGAAGATAGAACAAAGGGCCAAACGGATTCACTTTGCAGCCTTTCTTGACTGAAGGGGACTCATGAGGGCAGCAGGGACAGTGGGTGGAGTTGGTGGAGGCATGGTGGGTCTGCCTGTAATTGGGGCTCTGCCCAGCCTTGGTGCTGGGGACTAGGAGGGAGTCATAACCTGCCCCCTCCCATCAGTGTCACTGATAACGTGAGGGTGTTGGCTCTGTGGATTTTTAAGAGTGTGTACAGGTCTGCCATTTGCTGAATTATGACTCAGACTGGTGCAGGTGTCAAGGAATTTCCCATTAGTAAGAAATTCATCTTCAAGCCCTGGAAAGCATTTTGGCCCGTCTTAGCTAATTGCTCATCAAGTAGTGATTATTTGGCTTAGATGACAGGGTGCACTTTGCAGGGGTTATAAATGAGCTCCTGCAAAGCCGCACCAGGCGCCAGGCGCCAGGCGCCAGGCAAAGGGCTGGCCTCTGGGCTTAGAGACTCAGCAAAAGGCTTCTGGGCTTCAGCAGCGCTCTGTCAGCCAGGCAGCACTGGGTGTCATGAACTCATTTTACCATCAAGAAGCAAAGCGGAGGACAGGTGAAGCAGCCTTGCCCCTCCTTCCTCTCCAAGGCTGAGCAGAGAATGTGCGCAGTGAGGGGAGCTTACCCGACTGTTGTGACCGTGAGGAGAGGCTGTAGGGAGAAGTTCCTCTGCCAAACCAGAAGCTCCTATACCCCAGGCTAGCCCCGAACTCACCATGTATCGACGAATGACCTTGAACTTCTGGCCCTTCCTCTGCTCACTCCCGAGTGCTGTGATTACAGGCCTGTGCCACTATGTGTGATATATGTGATGCTGAGGATTGAACTCAGGGCTTTATTTGCACTGGGCAAGCACTGTACCAACTGAGCCACACCCCCAGTCTGGTAAGCCTTTTTCTCTCAATGTATTTAAGGCTCTTGCTATGTAGCTCAGGCTGGTCTCAAGTTCACAATCCTACCACCACCTCCTAAGTGCCTGGATTACAGACATGTGCCACCATGCCTGGATTTTAGTAGGTTTTAGTTAATAGGCTCTGGGTGTGATTTCCTAAGAGGTTCTGAGGATAAAGGCAACTCTTTAAGCCCCAGTTTGAGGCAAGTGGCTACAGTTTCCAGCCTGAATCTAGGCTGTGCTGTAAAAACGTACTTGGCCAACAACTACACAGAGCCTTCACATCTGAATGTGGGAAGGGTGTCCGCATTGAGACCTATGGGCTTTGGAAACCAACTTCCCACCAGCAAACTCAGAGCCTCCCCTCCAGTTGGGGAGTGACTTCTGGGCAACAGCTTGCATTAGAATCACCTGGAGGGTTGTTTAAGGACCTAGCATCTAGAGAACCAGTCAATGAATCTAACAAACGATCAGGTAATGCTGACCACACTCTGAGAATGGCTGGCCTATGAGAGTCATTGCTTGTCAATTTAGAGTCGAGTCCCAACTTAGACCCCCAGGCCTCCCATTGCCCCCACTCAAGGTTCTCTCTCAGATGGCCAACTGGTCAGCCAGCCTTGAGTGCTTAGTGCTTGCATGCTATACTACTCAAGGCTAGGCTCAAATGCTGCCTCTTCTGAGAAGCCATCCCTGAACTTTCCACAAAGGTCAAAGACATCCTTGTAGGCTAGGGGAGTTTTCCCCTTTGCCAAATGCTTTTAACTTTTCCATGCCAGCTTTGTTTAGGTCCCACCCCTATATCTACACCTTTGTACACACTCTCAGCTGCTGCAAGACCTGCCTGCCATACTGCCAGCCACCTGAAAACACCTTCCAAACCCAATGTTTAAGAAATGCACCAATCCTTCCTCTCATCTCATATCACTACCCCATGGTGGACTGATCTCTAATTGGTTCTGAGTTCCATAAAACACAGGACAGCACTTTCACCCATTCACTGCTCATCACTACTTCAGGCAAAGTTTCTGTATTTGCTAGGAAGATGAGAGGCAGACAGAGTACCAAGAGATACCCGACAGCCATGCCTATTTCCAAAAGGCAGTGCCATGCAGTCATGAAGACCTAGACCCACACTTAAGTCCCAGCTCCTCCTCTGATTAGTTGCCTATGACAAAGCTCTGAGCCCAGGGCTGGTCATTTCCTGCCCAGTCTGCCCACACATGTGAAGGGACCAGCTTCCCATTTTGGCAGCTATAACAGCTGAACAGGTACTTGCCTGACCTTGTCTTGGTCACTAGGAGGCCAGATGCCTGCCTCGTGGCAAGGAACCAATCAGAAGTTAGATGGTGGTGCTATGCTTTACAGCTCTGGGTGTGCTTTACGGACAAGTGCATAGCAATGGCGCACAGAGCATAGCAACCACCCTGGGAGGGCCTATGGGCCATAACCACCAGTTGACCAATCAACACAGGGCAGGCCCTCCAAGCCTGGAGGCACACCAATCCTGAGCCTGTGCGTACCCCTAGACACTCCCCTATAAGATCTCTATGGAGTGTCTTCACAGCGTCTTTCCTAGTCATCCTCCACGGTGGATGGACGAAAGGCCCAAGCTAACATGGGGCTAGCTCGTTAAACAACTACAATAAAGCCTCTTGCTGTTTGCATCAAGCTTTCTCCTTTGCATGGTGATTGGGGTGGCCGTGGTCCTGGGCTGAGATCCTGGGGGCCTGAGCCTCCGGGGGTCTTTCACATGGAGCCCTGCTCTCTGGGAACTCCCCTCCCCGCTCAGGGAGAGCCCGGCTAGGGCTTCAGGAGGCCCCAGTCTCAGACCTTGCCAGGGGCCAGGAAGTGATGAGCACTTAGCACATGGCCCCTCTGATGAGCTTTCTCCAAGGGCTGGTCATTTCAACAGGTATAATACAGCAACTGCTCTCATGGGACCTAAAGATACAACAGGACGACTAGGGACAGTAGCAAGAGCTGGGATTTCCTGCATTCCAGCACTAGACATTCACGATGGGGTGGAAGCTATACAATGCCCAAGGTCCAGGGCTGGCATGGAGCCCCTGGATGAGTATTATCAGGGCTAATTTTCCAATGTGCATGCCAGGCATGCCTTACCATCTGCATTTCCCAAGAGAAAAACTTGAAGCTTAGATCAGGTAATCCTCCCAATCAATATTAGCAGTTGCCACACCAAGGACTTTTATTTTTTGTACTTGAGATTGGGGACTAAGGGCCCTTGGAATGCTGGGCAAGCATCCAAACCCAGAGCCATATGAGGGTAGGGGAAAGGGAGCTGCCACAATAAGAGCAGGAGAAGAAGAGTAGAGGAGATGAAAGGGGGAAGCAGAAATATTTAGTTGGGGGAAGAATAGAGGAAAGAGAGCAGGATGAGAGATACCATATCAGAGGGAGCCACTATAGGTCCGAGAAGAGATCTGGAACTAGGGAGATCTCCAGAGACCTACAAGGATGACACGATCTGACAATCCAGGCAATGGTGGAGAGGATAACCTAAAAGCCCTTACCCTAAAATGAGATTGATGACTACTCTTTATGCCATCCTAGAGCCCTCATCCAGTGGCTGATGGAAGCAGAGACAGACATCCACAGATACACACTGAGCTGAAATCTGGAATTTAGTTGAAGAGAGGGAGGAATGAAGATCGAAGGGGTCTGTACCAGGTTGGAGAAACCCACAGGAACAGTTGGCCTGAACAAGGGAGAGCACATCGACCCCAGATGCTGTCTGGGAGGCCAGTACAAGACTGATCCAGACCCCTGAACATGGATGTCAATAAGGAGGCCTCTGAACTCCTGGAAGCCTCTGGTTGTGGATTAGTATTTTTCCCTGGTGCAAGAAGGGACTTTGAGAGCCAATCCCATATGAAGGGTTACACTCTGGCCCTGGACACATGGGGAAGGGCCCAGGACCAGCACAGGAAAGAAGGGACTTACATGTGAAACAAGCTTGTTCCCTAACTTGAACTAATAAAAAAAATTTAAAAAAGGAAACCTGTAAAAAAACAAAACAAAAAAAAAAAACCAAAAAACCCAGAGCCATGTTCTGAGACTCTTTTTTGTTTTCAGTTTGCAATGGTCTCACTGAGTTGTTCAGGCTTGCCTTGAACTTACTCAGTAAGGCAGGCAGGTCTTGAACTTGAGACCTTCTTGCCTCAGCTTCTCAAGTAGCTGGGATTACAGGGCTGCACCTCCAGGCACAACACAAGGACTAATCTTCACTAACTACTTTGCAAACAGAGGCATTGTTCCTATTTTGTGAATGAAAAGTCTGTAGTTCAAAGAAGGGTCACTCCACTGTAAGTAAAGACACAGGATTGGAACCTGGAACCCACAGGGTGGTAGAGTGCACTCACCCTTGCAGACATCTATCCTTTCATGGAGATAGTCATGGAGATATTTCCCCAGTGAAAGCCCATCCACCTCACACCTCCTTTCAATATTCCCAGCAAGTTCCTTCAGTTACCCAGAGAAGAAAGCACACATCAGCAGGTACATAGCAGCCCCTCTTTTGACCTTGTATGACCCCCCAAGGGCACTAAGAAAACAGCCCATGAGACTTGGGAACTGACCGTGACCCCGAAGAAGTTGGTTTCGTTCATGGCATTGAGGATAATCCTGCCCAGCGTGTGGTCTGTGTAGTTGAAGTCCTGGATCCGCTGGTGCCTGCTGCTGGCATGCAGTGTCTCCATGGCTCTCTGCAGTGTCTTGGCGATGACCCAGATGCCATCATAGGCATACCCATGGAACTTGCTGGGCCCCACACCTGAGCGCTTGCTGTTGTATTCTCTTTCATATTGCTGTGGAGTCTGGAAGAGCAACGGGATGGGGGGGGGATGGGGGAAATCAAGTTACTGTAGGGACACCAGGTATATTGATACTCTTCCAAATCTGCTGTGTGCTCATCACAATGTCAGGCTCACTGTCCATCCTGTCATTTAATTCTATAATGATTTCCTAAGATGGCAGCCATTATAGAAGTGGACACTGACTTGCTTAGGTCACAGAGTCAGTGAGTGACAGGGCTGATCTAGCTCTGCCTGCCTGGAAGACTAAACAGAGGGTGTAATGCAGCCTAACTATGGACCCTCCTTGCCATGTTTTCAGGGCCTGCATCTGGAGAACTCCTGGGAGCCCACTTATCAGGCCTAGCCATTGAAGCTATATACAAGTCAACAAAATATTCAATGAATTATTTTCAATTTTCCACCAACATAAACATACTTTCCAAATGATTTAAAGGCAGGGTTTGAACTTAGCACTGGGGCTCCTCACAACTTCTGGCCAGACAGTGTATGGGGAAAGCCAGTCTTGCTGGGCAGTCCGGCCCTTCCAGCCCCTCCCTTTCCCACTGCCTCCAGCCTGAAGCTCATGGGTTCTCTCTGTCCTTTGCCCACAGCCTCAGGGACCTTTGACCCACCCAAGAGGTGGTTACCCCTAAGAACCACAGGTCCCTAGACTCTGGAACTGGCTCTAGGACTTGGGCAAGGAACTCAGAGCATGGGCTAGGAGATGTGTCCAATATTTTAGCTTCTGATATGATACTTCCATCTACAAAGTTCATAAATGCAGATCCATGTGATTGAGTCACAAAAAAAAATATCACACAACCCCTCACTGTTTTAAGCTTCTGACTGATTCTGTGTTGGCTGCATTCATAGCTGTCGTTGGCTGGGTGAAGGATGGATATGCTTGGTTGAGATTCTAGAAGGTTCTAGCTCTGTATTCATAGCCCTGTGGATTCTAAGCCCTGCAGGACCCTGTAAGGCCCTCTAGGAACACAGGCCTTGAGGCAGATTCAGGCAAGTAAATCTGTGCCTTCTACCCTTCAAAGCTCCACAGGGTTTGTGAGTAGATTGCCACTGGACCACAGATCCTTGCTGAATTCTATAAAAGAATTCATTGGTGACATAAGCATCTTGATTGGCCACAAAGTCCTGAAGTTGCTCTTTTTATCAAATTCCTTGCAACCTCCTCAGTGGGAAATGTTATCACAGCTGTCTGGGACAACCCTCAGAGGGGTCAAACCACACAGAAACTGAAGGGCCCTGGTCAACTCACCCCACCATCCTGTACAGCCTGAGGGGCTGAGAGATGCAGAAGTTGGTATGAGTGTGTGAGTATGTGTGTGAAATCAGACGGGCCCCCATCCTGTTGCTGCTCTCTGGTCATGATGTCATTGGAAGCTTGCACAACTGTCCGTGGACAGTACGCACGGAAGGTGGATCTGCACAATCAAAGATCAAGGGGTTTTACATGCATGGAGCCCACCACGCCAAGAAGTAGGGTCTCTGGTAGAGTCACCCAGACAGGTGTGCAGGACCTCAGACCAGGCGCCTCCAGCTGTGGCCCTGCAGGATTTCTGTTTGTTCCAGTGAAGCATGTCCAGCAATGAGACCATAGTCTTCCCTCTAGTCTCAGGCTCTTCTGGAAACCTAGGATGTCCCTACCTGTCACTGATCTCCAGCCACCACTTCCCTATTTGTCTCCCCAAACCCAAGCAGAACTGACTTTAGTTCCTGGAAGACCAGGCCTTTGGGCCAACTTATCTTTTGCATCCACGCCCCACACAGTGAATCACCTCACATCCCTGTGTGTCCTGACTTGTGTCCAGGCATGGCTACAAAGGGCCAGCACCCTCCCTGGCCGAGTGCACGCCTCCTGGGGAGCTACCCAGCATGAGGCGTTCTCTCATCTTCTAGCCTTCCAGGTGCCTAGATCATATGGAGTTTCCTTGTACCCCAGGGCTTTTGCACTGGTTATGTCCATTGGAAAACTCCCCCAACTCAGAGTGCTACATAGCCATAGCGTCATGTCACTGGAACAGCCCTCATGAGCTATTCTTTCTAGCACTTACCACTCCTGTGTGGCCTGTTGGTTGGCCTCTGTTTTTGCATTGGCGCTCAAGGGTCAGGATATAGTGTGCTTCAGTCACTGAGTGGTCCCCAGAATCACATGATACACACACTCAGCTGCGCAGTCTGCTAAATGCAGGGACACACCTATGTATACACCACAGAGCTAAATGTAGGAACACACCTATGTACACACCATGGGGATAAATGCAGAGACACACCTATGCACACACCACGGGGATAAATGCAGGGACACACCTATGCACACACCACGGGGATAAATGCAGGGACACACCTATGCACACACCACGGGGATAAATGCAGGGACACACCTATGCAAACACCATGGGGATAAATGCAGGGACACACCTATGCACACACCATGGGATAAATGCAGGGACACACCTATGCAAACACCACGGGATAAATGCAGGGACACACCTATGCACACACTGAGGGATAAATTCGGGACACACCTATGCACACACTGAGGGATAAATGCAGGGACACACCTATGCACACACCACAGGATAAATGCAGGGGCACACCTATGCACACACCACGGGATAAATTCAGGGACACACCTATGCAAGCACCACGGGATAAATGATGCTCCCTGATACTGAAAGGTACCATGCCACTGTGTATGAAGGCACCTGTTTCCCAGCATCCTCAGTAATAGGTGTTTTAATAAAAAAAATATTGTCAGTTTGTCAGGAAAACATATTATATTCTTTTACTTCGAATTTTTCTTTCTAGTAGAATGAGCTCCTTTCGGATATTGACTAAAAGTTGTTTTTACTTCTGAGTTAAATTTCTTCTTTACACTACATTGCTGCTGTGATGGCCTGATCTTTCAGTCAATTGTTTTAAATCATCTTGCTCTTTTTCCAGTTTTTTATTACTTGGTTCTCTCTGTCTCTGTCTCTGTCTCTGTCTGTGTGTGTGTGTGTGTGTGTGTGTGTGTTTGTGCCTGTACCATAGGCATATTTGCTGAGTATTGATCTTCAGGCACAGAATGGCAGGCATTATACCACAGAAATACCTCCACCACTCCATCCCTCCACACTCCCAGGCCTTGAATTTGCAAGTCTCCGATTCATCCTCTGAAAGTAGCTAGGACTATGGGCCTGGGCTATCATTCACAGATTTAAAAAAATATTTAAATGTGATTTGGGTCTACATGATGGTTAGTGTTACATTCAACTTGACAAAATCTAGAATCATTGCCAAATGGACCTCTAGGCATGCCTGGGAGGGTGTGGGAGAACCACCGTCTTAGCTGGGGTGGGAGCACTCCTGGTCTGTTTATAAAATGGAGAGCTTGAGCTGAGCATACATTCATTGCTTTCTTCTCCTGGCAGCTGCATCAAGCCGCTATGAACCCCCGCCCCACTATGATGGACTGTGGCCTGGAACTCTGAGTCAAGATACACCCTTTTCCTCTAAGTGGCTTTTGTCAGGATATTCTGTCACAGCAGCTGAAAGAAAAACTAAGACTCTATTTCTGGTTGTTAATTTAGCTCTTCAATATTTTTAAAATATGTAAAAGCTACCTAGATGAGTATTCCTATTATTATCATCATCGTCATCATCATTTTGTTTCTTCAGGCAGGGTTTCTCTGTATAGCCCTGGCAGTCCTGGAACTTGCAAGCATAAGAGGGATGAGACCCTCTCACTTCTATCTTCTTGAATATCCCTCCCTACAAGTGTTCTCTGATGCACACAAGGCACCAGAAGGAGGGGTGCCTATGTCAGTCTGCTTTCTGTGACTATAACATGGTATCTGAGTTCATAACCTTAAGAAAAGAAAAAGTTTCTTTTGGTTCAGTTTGGAAGTTTCAGTTGGTGATTGGCAGGCCTCACTTTTGTTCTGTGGTGAGGTAGCTCATCAGGTAGAGGGGGTGTGGTCAACAAAGTCACTAACCTCATCAGGTAGAGGGGGTGTGGTCAACAAAGTCACTAACCTCATCAGGTAGAGGGGGTGTGGTCAACAAAGTCACTAACCTCATCAGGTAGAGGAGGTGTGGTCAACAAAGAAACTAACCTCATGAACCAGGGAGCAAGAAGAAAGAAGAAAGGGACTGTGTCCCATAATTCCCTTCCAGGGCAGGTCTCCAGTGACCTAAGGATTTCCCACTAGGTTCCAACTCCCAAAGGTTCTATGACTTACTGACAGTGCCCTCCTGTTTTAACCCACATGCATCAAGACCATGGTAGCAACCATCTAGAATTCCATTTACTCTACCCAACGGTGCAGTCAGGTGGTATTTTAGATAGCACCCTAAGCTGTCTGAGATCCTGTAAAAGTCAGGGGCTGTTATAGTTCAGATGGAAAATATCCCCCATTGGCTCACATACTTTGCTCACATACTTTGACACTTGGTCCCTAGATGGCAGCTCTGTTTTGGGAGACTGTGGGGAACTGTGGGAAGTGGGGCTTCTCTGTAGGAAGTGAATGGCTAGAGGGTGGGCTTTGTGGGTTATCGCTTTGCCCACTTCCAGTTCAAGCCTCTTTCTGTGTTTCCTGGTGGGCAGCCAAGATATGAACAAGCAAGACCACAGGCTCCCACCGCCACAGCCGCAAACCACTCTGGCTGCCATGCTTCCCCACCATGATGGACTGTATCCCCTCAAACTGTCAGACAAAATAGATCTCCCTTCCTTAAGTTCCTTCTTGTCAGGTGTGTGGTCACAGCAACGAAATAGTGACTACTGCAGGGTGGGATGGAGGCCTGAGGTGAACAGGCCCAGGATGGCCACCACAGCAGCTCATTGCCTGCATATTTTAACTTTCTTGACATAATGAGAGAGAGAGAGTGTGTGTGTTTATGCATGTGTGTCTGTGCACCTGTGTATAATGACCATAAAAGGACTGAGATCATACAGCTTATTTGACTTGGCCTTGGGACTAATACAGGCCTCTCTGTCTACTTTTTACATGAGTCACTTA